CCAAAACTAAATTCTACAGTACAGATACAACATTTGATACCTCATTTTACAGTACAGACACAATATCTGATACTATATTGTACAGAAAAGATACAGTTCTTAATACCACATTTTACAGTACAGACACAGTTTTTAAAACTACATTCTACAGTACAGATACAACACTTGATACCATAATTACAGTACTCATACCACATTCTTGATACAATGTTTAACAGCACAGACACCACATTCTACAGTACAGATACCACATTCTACAGTTCAGATACAGTTCTTGATACCACATTTTACAGTCCAGATAAAACATTTGATACCACATTTTACAGTACAGATACAACATTTGATACCACATTTTACAGTACAGATACAACATTTGATACCACATTCTACAGAAAAGATACAATTCTTGATACCACATGTTACAGTACACACACCACATTCTACAGCACAGATACAACACTTGATACCGCATGTTACAGTAAAGATACAGTTCTTGATACTACATTTTACAGTACAGATACAACATGTGATACCACATTTTACAGTACTTACACCACATTCTACAGTACAGATACAACACTTGATACCACAATGATAGTAAAGATAAGTTCTTGATATACATTTTGCAGTACAGACATCACATGTTACAGTACAGATACAGTTCTTGATACCACATTTTACAGCATAACTACAATTCTTGACACCACATGTTACAGTACAGATACAACACTTGATACCACATTTTACAGTAAAGATACAGTTCTTAATCTCCACCAGGTCGTGGACCACGCGCCATACGGGACCAGTGAGTTCATCCTGGACCAACATGGCTGCGACTTTTGTGTGCACGGGGGTGAGTGGTAGACTGTGATAATTCGTTTGTTTGTTTGTTTGTTTGTTTGTTTGTTTGTTTGTTTGTTTGTTTGTTTGTTTGTTTGTTTGTGTGTTTGTTTGTGCGTTTGTTTGTTTTTGTAAACGAGTTTTACGGTATTTGCAACACAATAAGGTCACATGTGCCTAAGCTTAGAGATGTTACAAGAGCGTAAACAAACAATAACAAACAAAAAAAAAAGAAAAAGGAGGAGGGGAGATCATGAAGAAAGATGTTTGATAGGAAAGAAGGAGCAAACAATTTTAGAGCATCCGCTAACCGCCCATGGTCATATAAGTGCCGAAGATTGGAGTTACAAACGAGAAAGAGAGTAACAAACATAACAAGAGATAGGAGGAGAATGGCACAGGGCGAATAGTGATACCATCCTTCAATTTTTTTTGTTTTTAACTCTCTTGTAACACCTCTTAGTAGTAGTATAGTATAAGGTTTAACGGCGCTCGCAACTGCTAAGGTCATATGAGCGCGCGAAACACAAGTTGTTCACTTTTGCAAAAGTTCACTTCACGACTGGTTAACTAATTTACTTTAAAATGCTAAAAAGTTAATGTAACACCTCTGATCTTCTGCACTTTAAATGACCTCATTGTGCTGCAAGTACCGTAAAACTCTGACTAAAACTAAAGACAGAG